CCGCCTTGAAGTGCCTACATGAATAATTTTATAAGGACACTAAGGTGATATCTATAACTTTGTACCTTAGAACAGGCTTGACCGAAATTCAACTTTAAAAACTTTTTGTTTTTCAGTTGTTCCACACAGATGACTATGAGCTGCTAGTACTACAAAAAGGCCATTGTCCTTTCTGTCGAAAACCTGTAGAAGATTAAGGAAGAAGGTCACTACATAAAAGACATCGTTGAAAATGAAAACCAGTCAGACTTTGAGAAAGTTGCCTTTAACTTAACAAAGTGCAAAAAATAGGAGTCAAGGCTGCTGGGAGAGTTGCACAGATGTATATACGAATAAAAGAAAAATGGATACATATATATTTTATTGTTTGAGTTCCAGGATAAATGGAATTGATATTGTATGTCTGATTTCATTGTTGTAAGTCTTAGACTTTATTGAACTGTCATTTGTACAGTTCCTGACACAGGATGTTTATAAATTCTTCATACCTCTTGGTTTTATGTTTCTCTGTTGAATGCAGTAGTGGAACACATATCACAACTGACTCCACTAAGTCACATTATTTGTTCACAAGTATTCTAAATGCTGCTAGAAAGCAGTACAATCATTTATAACAAAAAATTTTGCTGTGATGTAGTGTTATCCAAGAGACAGTTTCCATGATGCAGAGGAATCTTTATTTTATTTATGTAATTATTATTTTTCTTTTTGCCAAATTCCACAATTATGTGATATAGATGTGTCTTGAAAACCCCTTGTTGTGTATCTTAAGAATTTTGTTGAGAGGAATCTCATCTGTCAGTAGCAGCTTGTATTGGAAGCTGCTCAAAACTTGTATTCCATCCAAAACTTTTTGTGAAATGTATTAAGCAGGTGTCAAGTTTTCTCAGAATATTATGTACTTAAATAGTTATTTGTTACCAACCATATTGTTTATGTATGGCAAACGAGGATTTACGTCAAAAAGTTTCAAACTAAGATTTCCGTCCAGATTTTTAGTAAAGATAAACAGATTGAGATATAAGCTGCCTGCACTTCATGTTCAGGTAAAAACTAATTTAATTTGAATTAATTGACACAAAGGTATTTTTTCCAATTTTACTTTCCCATCGTTTTATTTGAAAATTTTATTACCTTCCTTTTGTAAATTTTAACTTGTGTACTGTACAATTTATAGTGAAATGTTTTTACTGTATAATAAATTGGTATTTTCCTAAATTAAGCTATCTGGTACAAGTGTCCTCCTTACTTTTTTCAGTTCCTCCTTTCTTTTCTTTTCTAATTTCATTGAAATGGGTTTTTAAGTGCAGTGAATCTTTTGAAAAGAATCGGACACTCTTATGACAACATGGTCTATTACAAATGAGAATAAGCTATCTCGTGAGGTCACTTATAAATGGTCTCTAATACACATTAGAAAATGTCCCAGTGCAAGTCTTTCTTGTCTGAATATGTAAAGCTTCTAAGCTTTCCAGATCTGGCATTTAAAATGCTAAAACAAATTAAAGATTTTTCTGAAGTGCAACAGATGTCAACATTTCTTACCAAGCTTAAAAATCTCATAAAGTCAATCTAGATATCTCTACACTATCTGTAAAAAGAAATCAAACAAATGGTTCATTTATGGATAAAAAAAGTATTGTTATTAATACAAGTTTTACTCAATACCATACATATCTTGGGATGCAAGTGGAAATTGCTAAAATTACAGTGTAAAAAGTTCATTTCTTTTTTTGTAGCATTAAAAAAATAACTAATTTCTTCACGAGGTAACCTGCAAGTTTCCAACTTGATGTGTACTATCTCTGTAACACCTTTTAATGTTATAATGGAGACTGGCAGGTGCTACCCTCTAGTGGCAGTAGTATTTTTCAACTAATTCTTTGGGGTCTTGCACTTCCTGGAAAGGGAGGCCTTGTCAACCATTATTTTTTCTCCCCGAAATGTATGTCGCAAGAACCCCTGTGTTGTACACCACCATTACACATTGATATCACAAACAGGAATTTTAAATCGTTTCCCAGGTTTCTCCCGAGATTCTTTCAAACAACTCTAGCATCTCCTTGCACTAGTGGGCTTGAATTGGTCTTAAAGTGCAATTTAAGTTCACAAATAGTCTTACACGATCTTAAACCATGAGTAAGACTATTTCTGGTCTAACAGCCAATTAAGTTGTCTCCCCTTACACATTCTCCTATTGTGAGCAGAGGTGTCCTCTATTGTGAGGGGAAGTATCCCCCATTGTGAGGGTAGGAAACTGCTTGACCACTTAAGTAGATGTTAGATCATTTTTGATCTTAAAAGCAGATTCAGTCCATTTTAAGACTACAGCTGTAATGTTTAAGATTGTGTAAGATCACTTGTGAACTTAAATTGCACTTTAAGACCAAATCCAGCCCACTAGTGTTGGTGACTGTCCCATGGGAGAAGACATTGAATCTTGAAGAACACTACACCAAAAAAGCTGTTAAATTTTTTTCATTCCTTCAGGTGTTGCAGCCTCCATAGTATCTATTGGTGATAAGATTTTTCATAGTCTACCATTCTTGATGGGTCAGTCGGGAAGAACCTCTGGCAATATGTCATGAGTCTTTTCAGTGCCTGGAATTTGATATATCACATCTATATATTACATCACAAATCATAGCAGTCTGTGACATTAGCCATCGTTACCTGGCAGCTGATTGGTAAATTTTGTATCAATATTTATTAAAAATAGATTATTTCAAAATAGAGTTCAGATAAATTGCTGAATTTAAGCAACAGCTAATCCTAATGGGTTGACATCAGCAAAATGTTTGTTTTAGCCTAGTAAATTCAAATTAACCTCAGCTGCTAAAACAGATCTTGATTTATCTTTACATTAACACATAAAATTATACATCCAATAAAACTTTTTTACCCAACAAGCCCTCCACTTAATAGCATGATTTCCACCTTTTCTCTCCATACCTGAATGTACTTCCGCTGTGTCTCGTCGTTCAACACATGCGCTACAAATCTTGATGAGATCTTCTCACGTCCAGTACGGGCGTGAATGCCCACCATGGTCACTCCGACTGGCCAGGGGGCATTTCCAATGGCCATCTCATAGTAGTGGTCACTGGCCTGGAGAGTACAAGATAGGATAACATTCAGAAATCAAATACTTTAATATTAAAAAAAAAAACTAAATCTGATAGTATGCTTATCAGAAAATTGAACAATGCCATGCTATAAGTTGACTCCCGATTTGAAATTTTCCAACTCTTCGTGGTTAACATGGTTGTACAGCTTAGACTATCTTAATGTAATAAGTGTTTTGTTTAACAATTAGTCTACATTTATAAGGCTTAGATTAACCTTGGATGGCTGAGTGCACAAATACAACAAACATGCAGTCAAAGGTCATATCTTTGCTTACCCTTATATAATCCCGTTCCAACAGAAACTTTGTGATTTCAATCAAACATTCTAGGATATCTGTCTGCATACGCTGAAAATGACATCGTATATGATAATTTTACAAGCAGAAATCAAACACAAATGCTAACAACAATTAATGTTTATACTGACCTGGTGAAGCTTCTTGCAGTACACTTTGCATGAAAAAATTACATGGAGTTAAATTGATAATTTAAAGTGGTAATTGCCTGAAAAATTCTCTCATGTATATGAATTTAATGTTTATCAAACACATAAAGATGAAATGTTCCATCTGAAAAATATGAATAAAACCAGCTTTATAAATAACTGAATAGGGTCTTCTATTGGCTGTTCACAGTACTAAGATCTTGTACATAGTATACCATTTTGGTGGTGAAAATCACTTACTCTTATAAAAGTTTGTCCCAAGTTACCATACTTACCCTTTGTTTAAGTTTCCGGAATAAAGGTTTCAGGTAACTCACAGTTTGTGAGTGTGTGGCGCTTGCCAGTTTTCCCCTGGTAGAGCGTTTCTCTTCTTCTGGCCTGTTATTGAGATCTGTGCCCCATAGATACAAGATGTACTGAAAAATCAGCCAGCCTAGTTTGAATGTCTGTTCCCAATAAATTTTATTTTATAGAATTTAAAACTTTTAAGTTATTACCCGTAATTAATATAACAAATACATATATAATGTAGATGTATCCCATCTATGCATCTATCCATAAGGGACTGATTTATATAAATACTATTGTCTTTACAACAAATCCTTACAAGTTTAGTTTGTCTTCAAGTTGTTTCCTTATCATAATTCTTTTTAACCTGTACCAACTGACCTGCAAATACTCAAGCAGTATTCCTTGTGCTTTTTCATGATTACATGTTTCCAATTCTTCACGCATTTTCTAAAAAAATAAAAACAAAATAAAAAAAGGGATTTGCCAATGAGTGATGATATAAGGACCTTTGGTATTTTTGACTAGTTTTTTAAATACTTTCTTACACTAAAATATTCTTGTTTAAAATAATTTTTTCAAGAACATGAATCAAACAATCCTAGAATTACACTGCCATGTTTTCAAATAGCCAAAACGGTAATCTAATTAGTGTGAACATAAATAATAAATTATAAAAATATAAATACTGTGAAATTAATCTCTTTTGAAGAATTAAACAGTTTATCTTTAAAAAATTGAAGTACTTTGACATTTTGGAGCAGATTGCACCTTCAACTTTTCAACTCACTAGTTGCATGGAACTATATAGTTGACCTCAGAAAAATACCTGCTCAATTCATATCGCCATTTATCCCCTTACTTTAAAATCATCCCCTGTGATCTCCACCTGCATGACTTTGACATCGTTACTCTTCTTGTCGTCGTCTCCGCCAGATTTCAGGATCTCCTGCAGGTAATCACTGTCCACTTTGTCCATAGCAGCTTTGAGGTCATTCTTGTAACCCTGAAAGGTCAAGGCCAAGGCCAAGGTCACTGTATGTAATTTTATCTAAGACAGTATACATACAGATTTAAATCTGTGTCAACAACTTGTGATATTGACTTGCTATTGTGTTAAATGAACCCACCTTATTTACATCAGGTTCTAAAATTTCCAGTTTTCGTAGTCTCTGATATGCCTCATATTCTGTCTCTCCAAACAGCGTTATTGGCTCCACTCTCTCACGAAGTCTTCTGATTACCTGAAAGCACAAGTTGTCATCAATTTAATGAAGAGTTTGGTTAAGCTTATCTAACTAATCAACAACAATAGCATATATAAGCTTACTATTTGTAGCCTAAAAAGACCTCTCAGCAATGAGGACAATATATATAGCGAACACTGAGGCATCACGCTAAATGCAAAATAAATTTAAACTTTGGCATGCTCTATAATACATCAGCTAGAAAAGTGTTATCAAGAAATGTGGAAATATCCTATACCATTCACACGAGAGCTCAATGCCTAGACTTGGTCTTTACCTTCAGACCAAACTTTTGTCTATTCTAAGATTAGTTCAAATAGTCCATTTTATAAAAAGAAAGAAATGACTAGTGTAATTACCCAAAGTTTCTCTATTTTAGGGCACTATAACTAGGTACTACAAACTTCTGAAGTGTAACTAAAATTTTTACTCTTTAACTTTTTTGTAAAACCAGCTACTTCTCTCTGCTCTTCAATTGTTTAATTTTTTAAAAACTTACCTCTTTTCTGGGTAAAATGAATGTCTTGTCTTTTTCTGGTGACAGGTCACTCTTTCCTGCATTCCCTTCAGAGTCATTGCTCTGAAAAATGCCATTTAAAGTTCTAATCAATTTTCCTACAAGAATGTACTGTATTTAATTTAAATAAAAGATGCATGGTCTTGTCACATGAATGTTACATAAATATGCATAAAATGAATTTTTTCCTGTTAGTTCACACCATCAGTTCTAAAATCCTAAAATTCCTGTTCGTTCAAACCATCAGTTCTAAAACATTATGTCTATACATCTTTATTTGGTCAATCCTAAAATTCCCCAGTCCTTGTCTTCATTATGAAAGCGCCTCAATTATCAAAAATGAAACACTGTGTGTAACTGCAATCACCAAGAAAAAATGAGCTTACTGTGTGTGACTATTGTGACAAACTACTTTATCTGGCTGGCCACTTGATTACATGTGTGTTGTGTGTCGTGCATGTGGTGCTATTCTACAGTGTTGCTAGATTGACCTGCATGTGTATACTCTTTGTGACTATCATATACTGTACCTGATCACTTCCCCCACTGGAGCCTGGCAGCAACCTTTGGTGTTTCTTCCAGTATTCTTCTGCTTCCTTGGCCGCAAGTTCTCCACGCTTGAAGTATTTCTTCTCGGAAGTCTTTCAATGAAATTTAATTTAGCAAAATAAAAACTTTTATTGTCTAGAACTGGGATAAAGTTGCTATCAAATGACACCATTATAATAGGTATATCAGAAAAATTTTCAAACTGATCAGAAAATTAAAATACTTATATCATCTGAAAGGTAATGCAAAAACCGGATGAAATCATTTGGAATTTTTTAAATATTCCTACAAGCAACAAAGATATTGAAGTTTTTTAAATGCAAAAATCCACCAAAAGTGTCCACACTTCTCAGCTCAAAACCTGTGCCCACTGACCAGCAGTGATCACTCAGGCGCAGCAGAGCACCCTGTGTGTCTTTGTGTGCTCAGCCTATTGTCTGGCTCACATAGCCTGTGACTAANGATGATACCAGCAATTACCTGAAATTTTTTATCATTTTGTAGAGGCAAAGCTTAAAACAAGCAGAACCGAAACTTGTCAAAGACTGCAACATGGGAAAATCACGTGACCGGATTTTACTCTTTGATTTACAACTTATTTAGTTAATGGCTTGTATTAGTTTTTTTACGCGGCGCTAAAAGAGAGATTTAAAAAAGGGGTTCCATAGGCGAACTGTCAGCAGGCCGACTTCAGTTTTACACTTCACTGCCCGTGGACAGTTACGACTGTAGCGCCCCTAGCGGATTGTGATCTACCTAATTATAAGACTCTTTCACATTAAAATTATTACACATACATGCATCAACAAACAGATTCATAAACCTTGATAAAGGGTTCTAACAGAATGTACTACTGAATAATTCTTGATTTTTTTAAAATTTTGATAAGCTAAACCAAATGAATGGCAATGGCTTTAGTCTAGTAGTACCCTGTTAGCTGATAGATTTTTTAAAGAGGGGGGGGTAAATCTACAAATTACAACGTCCTCAATTTACAAAATACAGGGCAAAATAAATACTCACCACAAGCTCTTTGTTTTCCAATTGTCTCTTTTTCCTTTCGATTTCAGCTTTGATAAAATCCATGATTAGTTAACCCCGAAACAACTAGTGTAAGCACGATTTTGAAAATCGCATGATTGCCGTAATGTTTTTATTTTCCCCAAGGTTCCGTTCATGCGCAGAAACACTGACTACACTTCCGGGAGACCGTTGCGAAGCTTTTTTAGAGATAAAAATGGACATTTAGATTTTCATATTTTTAATGAAAATTTAATTTCGAATTAGTTTCATCAAGTGCAGTTTTGAAAAAACTCTTATACTTAATGTTAAAAAGTAAAATATAGCTTCTCTTGGGTACAGAACTGCTGCCACCTCGTGGCGGGTGTTTGTGAAACATTGGTCCGTTTCTAAAATATTTAGATCTATGGTGAAAGGAAGAAAAATTCAAATAAATACATAAATAAGACAAAAGACTTGAAAAATAAAATCTGAAACGATCAACTATAAACGAGTGGGCCGAAATTCAGAGATACCGTTAAAATTTTTAAATATGCATAAATTTTAGATTTAAAAAATGAAAAAAAGGCAAAAAATAAATAATTATATATGGAAAATAATAAAATAAATGAAAATAATTTATTCAAACAAATAAAATAAAATAAAGAAACATGAAGTCCCTGGCACATGTAAATCCTATTTTAACAATCTCAATGCATCACCCCCCCCCCCCCCCACCCATGACAATAAAAATTCTATATCAGACTTTTTTTAATAAAGCTTTATTGCACATTAACATAACAGCATAGTTCTGTACTCAGCACTACAAGAGTCCACTTTTCAAATGGTAATACACTGTTTTGAAATTATTCATTCATATATGAAGTACCATACTTTATTCCTTGGATATGAGTGATCCATACATTTCTCAGACATAGGAATATCATAATTATACATAACTATATTGTTTCCAATGAAACACCAGAAATTTTGAGATTTAACTGTGATTTCATATGTGAAATCCTATTCTCCCAAAACCAAAATTAAAGTACCACTTGTTTCACATTTTGGTTGTATATTGTGACATTACTGTATTTTTATCGATATGGAGTTTTAGAATCTTTTAACACTAACAAATAATAATAATAACTATAATTATAATAATAATTATAATAATAATTCCTATCAAAACAAAAAACAACTTACATGTATGTCCAGATTCAATATGAAATTTCAGAACAAGGCATATATAATAATAGCTCCTGTAGCACCGACAGATCCAGATTTTTTTTTTGTGTGTGTGGGGGGGGGGGGGTAAGGATAAAAAATTGGGCAAGCAAAGCTAAGGTGAATATAAAACAGCAAACAAGTTTTTTAGCATATATTACTTGTTTGTAGGGCACAAATATGGACCAACTGTTTTCTGTTTTCGTGTGCATGTTACATAATTTTTCAAAGGGAGAAGGACCAAGGGAGAGCCAAGGGAAGGCCACATGCCTGTTGTGAAGTTTGGTCTATGGATCCACCATTAGGCATGGGTTTTTTAACTGCTTTGCTTTTAGTGAGATTCATTCAAAAGAATCTTAGTATTTCTTTTTGAAACATGTGCAATATAGTTTTAAGTACAATACATCACATGGAAAGAAATTGACATATCAATGAAAATACACTGAAGATTTCACAGATGTTTTGATTTGTTAATGATCTGCAGGAAGGTACTGGTTTTATCACTTTTGTACCACACTGTGAGGTCTATATGATATGTGGCCATACTGAGCTGATGTATTTGCATGCTTAATTCTTTAATGGGAAATTTCCATACATCCCCACCTGTCACACCTGAGCTTCAGGGGCATGTGGTTGCAATTTCCATTGCCAATCTCACATGTTAAACAAGTGTAATTACTAAATCTCATGTCCTACTACAGAACCAGGAAATCTGCACAACTGCGTAAGCTTCAGAAAACTCAAGCCAGCAATTTCATAGTGGGGGGGGGGGGGGGGGTATTTTTATTATTGTTTTTAAGTGGACTTTTAACCAGTAACTATAATGGAAAAAAATACAGGCATTTAATTAACACAAGTACATACAAGGGAGTTTAAAGGGATAATAACTCTTCGTATGAGATCTATGTTTCACAATAAAAACCTTGTGAATAACTCATAGAAATATAATATATTCTGTTTTACCACAAAACAGCAGTTATAGCTATTATTCTGATAATCTTTAGACCACGCGACCTCCATTGATGTCTATACTCTGTTAAAATCTCTTAAGAGATTTTAACAAAAAACCAAACTTTTTAGAAAAAAACCAGGGACTAACTTTGAATGTAAAAATGGATTCATTAACCATTGGTAAGTATGGGAAAATTTTTGTTTACTCCAGGAAAATTCATTTTTTGGCCGAAACGAAGAGTTATTATTGCTTTAACAAAAAATAAATTTTGAAAGACACTTATCCTGCAGTGTCATAAAACAACATATTTACACGTTACATGCAATTAAGTGTTGTATATCCAAATATTTCCAAAAAGACAAAAATGACACCCAAATTCAAATTTCCTTTTAACAATATGTGTTACGACACCATAATTTTATCACCATAACATTCACAATTTTTTTTTTACTTTAAGCCTGCTAAATAAGTTGCACTCATCATTTAGTTTCTTCTTTCTTCCTTTTATTGCAAGATTACAACATTTAAACATTCAAACTTTCTTTGCTCTGAATCCAATAAATACATGGCAAGTAAGAAGTAAGTAACATTCAAATCTGAAAATGAAAATGGAACATCATGAAATTTCAAAAAACAATATTCAAAATGCTGAAACTTTTTATAAAAGAACTGAGGTGAAGAAAACCCTGGTCTACACAATGATATCCTGTGGGGATTACTGGTAACTTGTAGGATTACGTACCTCTACACACTATTAATATCTGTTCTAAAAAGCCTTCAAGGCAAATATCTTACATAAGCTGAAATACAGCAAATGTTTCTCTAAAACAAGCCTTTTAAAGACTTAAGCCTGCAATTAAAGCATAATTTTTGTCACCATCAAAACAGGGTTAATTTTATCATTATGTTTTTTATTTTTCATCACCTTAAAATTGCATCCATAAGGACAACAATACTGCTCAGGATGCTATATTTTACATGAGCTGAAATATAGATAACTGATTTTCTTTAACAAGCCTTTTTAAAGCCTGAAGCCTATATAAGCATAACTTTTGTCAAAGGGTTGTGTACAAAAAGCTCAGTTCCTCAAACTCTGGCAATGTAAAGAAGAACTTCAAATCATAACCAATGGGAAGAGAGACTAGTATTGGACATATTTGCTGCAGCATGAATTCGGTTAATAATTTAAGTAAACTCAGCATCCACCACAATTCAAAGGGCGAGTATCAAGCCTGACTCAAGCCTCTGACTCTTCATCTTCATCTTCATCTGTTACGCTCAGTAAAATACTGGGAGTCCCATCACAGCTCAATTGGTCAGTTGGAGTCTGTCCGGCAGTCACACTAGAATCACATTCAGGTACAGTTTCATCGCCCGAGTTCTTGTGACTTTGGTTTTGTTTTGGTTGTTGTTGTTTGGATGCTTGTTGCTGCAGACTGTTTTCACTTTGTGACTCCTCTGCTTCCACCACATCATCCAATATTTGTATATTGTCCATAAGGATTTTCTGAAAACATTAAATCAAAAATTGATGCAATACAGTTTTAGTCCACAGCTCATAGGGCAAAACCTTCCCTTCCAAATTCAAAATTTTAAATGCAAAGCCACATCAAAAGTTCTTTTAAATTAAGAATGATTAGGATTAAAAAATTTAGTATCTTCAACTTGAAGACTTCTGTTTAGCGTGAATAAAAAGCTAAAAAATATATACAAGCACAATACTGCAGTAGAAAGACAAATAAATGTAACTGAAAAGCAAGCAAAATTGATGGTCTGAGCTTTTTAAAAGCAAATGAAAGTATTCAAAACAACATTATGAACATGTATAAGTTAGTATTTTGTACGGTATATGAAAGTGCTGTAATAACATGGCATTCATAAAACTATTCTATAGCTCTGAGCATGCAGTTTTATCTTGCAGGCACTATAACATTTTAAAAAAACAAACTATTGTTAAAGTGTTCATATTGCCACAGTATTATTTTCAAATTAGTACTAAATGTACAACTACTGGTAACTAAGAGAAAATCACTGCAAGTTGTACAATGACATATTAAACAAGCTTGATGTCTGGGCTAATAGAGCCTGCCAAAGAAATGGACCGAGTCGACACAGATGCAGATGGAGAAGAAAATGAAACCTACTGACCTGTTTGACAAAAAATTTAACAATATAAAATGCAAGCTGCTATATTTGTAATAAAGATTAGACTACAAATATTTCAATCTATATAATGAAGCAACAGTTTGGTTAATGGTTAATGCAAAACACACAATTAAGAAATGATATTTTAAGTCCCTGAATATGAAATACATGCTAAAAAGTATTAGAATATTAAAATGTTAGGCTCTGTTCACAGGAGAACATATACAGTATACTTAGACCAAAGATAAATTTTATTACTGATCTCATAAATGCCTCTGTCCAAGCCTTGACTTGTGACTTTTATTGCTACTTCATAACCAAGCAGGGGCCCGTTTCACAAAATGACTTTAGTTGAAAAAGGACTGCAATGCCTGCAAACACTGCTAACAGTTTTAGCTGACTAGAAGGCCTATCACACCAACTCAAAACCCTATTGACTTAGGTCAAATCTGTGTCCCAAAAGCAAATTGTCTTGGTTATGATTTTTTTCTGTAAGCAGTGACTTTTGAGTGTGACTGTCACAGACATGTTCAGCATAGGCCAAGTGTTTGTAAAACGCCACCAAATCAAGTAATCTAAGACCCCATTTCCAGAGATTAGATCGATCTACTTTAGATCGACCTAACTCCCTGGGGGTTCACGCTAAATAGCTGTCAGCCGGGCAGACACGAAAGTTAATTACCCCCTTACAGCTTGTAGTAGGCCGGACGGACATTTAAGCCAGATTATCTGACAGTAATCTAGTGAGACTCCCCGCAGGGAAAGATCGATCTAAAAGGTCTGGGAATACAGCCTAAGTCAGCTCAAGTTTCGCAGTCTTAACCAAGCCCAAAATCTTGAGATGTTTTGTGAAATAGGCTTCAGCATTACATATTTGGCTTGTTTCAGGTCAAGGTTAAGTTAGTAGTGGTTAAGATCTTGCTGGACTGTGGTGATGAATAAGAGATATTTTTGTTAATGCAGACAGAGGAAACAAACAAACAAACTAACAAACAAACAAACAGCAGATCCATCTGTGACAGAAGTAAAACAGATCAGATCTCCTACCTCATGTCACTGGTTCTGAAACTCTTCCAGAGTTTCTACAGATTCCTGAAATGGTCCAGTGGCAACATAACTTTTCTGTCAATCGGACATATCTCAACAAGTGTCTTAGATACTTACAGATATCTATCTATTTCACACTACCAAATTTAAAGGTTTAACTTAGCAAGATCAGCAAAACTGGTTCACTTGTATTTTTTTCCTTTTTCATTTACCATACAGCTTTCTTGTGCTTCTTTTGTGATGCCATTTTTCTCTCATTTTTTCAAAAGTTTGTTTACTGGTATCAATGATATTTTGATAAACCCGTAATGTGTCATATCTAAGATAAAAGAGAGCATTCACATCTACATTGTATACAATGCAATGCAATAGCAGAAGAAATTTTATGCAGGCAAAAAATTGCAATGTATAAAATTTCAAAACAATATATTTTGATGGAGAAAATAGACATTTCCTTTCATTTCAACTTTATATCAAGATGAATTCATTTCAAAATCTGGTGTGTGTGTGTGCGTGAGCGCATGCGCATGCCTAAAGTCTTCTTCACTTACCATTTCTCTTGCCCGTTGTGCTTGTTCCTTTTCTGCTGCTCTCTTCTCCTAAAATACATTAATTTAGTTTCATTTCTACAATCTATTCTGAATAATGTTGCACTCATCTCAAAATGGTGATGATGACTACTGATATCCACTCTTTGTGTAAAATTCAAAAAAATTCTGAACTCACAAACAGGTTTATAGATATTAATATTCTCAACAGTTTTATATGGGGTATACCATAGAAATTAAGGAAAAAGAGTAAATTTTTAGTAATTTTAGTCATATCAGGTAGTGTGTCCAAATCGGACCCATTTTGCACCTCAGAGCATCAAATCCAATATTTACTGATCAAGGCAACAAATCAGTTTATACTTTTACAAGTTAATATTTAATTAAAAAGCACACTTCTCAGGATGACCATACAATGAAGCTTACCATCACAGCCTGAAAAGCCATTTTAGTTGCCGTGGTAATGGCCTGGCAGATCTGCAAAAGAAAGAGAAAAAAGACCCATATGTTTGCTCTATAACATGATAAGAAACATTACATGCTACTATGTCATCGAGACACATTCTTCCTACAACTGAGAAAAGGACTAGATATGGTATACCTTGGTGATTTGGGGAAAAAGTTTTGAAACTTCCAAGAAAATAAAATATTGGTACATTATATGAAGGTCTAATAGCATAACTGCATTATGATATTTTATTTCTTCATATTTAAAAAGAAAATCCATATTGTACACAAGATTTCAGGAGAGGTCTTACCTCTTCTCCAGAGAGATCACACTCAAATACATGGCAAGTAAACGAAGGGGGTGTCCCTGTTGTGCCTCGGTTTCGGGTGATGAATGCAAATAACCTGGAATTCAAAATAAAGTCACTTCATTCGTGGAATGCTGACAGATAAATATCAATCTTTATTCATATTTCTCCTTCTGATAGTTACCGTTGTTCAGGTGTTATAGTTCAGTATGTTTGCATTTATTATTTTGATTTCATTGTACACAAACTATAAAGGTAAAAATTATGGGTTGCAATTTTTACATCAAATATTTTTTGCTAACATACAATACATGCTAAGTAAAAAATCCTTCAGCTATTGATAAATGTAAACTAAGACATCAAAATTAAAAACACAATTAATGGATAAAATTTTGCATTAAACACCTTAAACTTGAAAAGAGTTATCATCTGTGTCTGAAAGCCCACAGAATTTCTCAACCTCACCTTTTATTGTCCTGATGTGCAGCCCAGAAAGACACGTCCATAAGGCTAAACTTCAGCCTGGGACTGCCGCTGCTTGGGTCTAGCAATCTAGAAGAAAATTTTAATTCAAAATACTACATAAAAGTATTAAAAAGTATCTTTATTGTAATAAAATGCACTACTGAAGCAGTACTTAAAAAAAAACTTGGTATCTATGCCAATTATCATTATAATATTTTTCATTGTGTACAACTTAAATGTGGTCAGGGCTTCATCCCTGAAAATATAAATACACATATTTACTTATGCTTCATGCATTTCGTCTAATTAACTAAATTACAGCAGAGTTCTCTTTCAATACGTGTTTCATATTTCTCACTATCATACTAGTATCTCTATAAATAAGCTTGAGCAAAATCATCATGAGCTCATTTAAGTCTAACAATACTTCATTCTGTGAAAAACCAGGATATTCATAAAAAATATACATAAATTACAACTAATTTTCTAAAATATTGCTCAAGAAAGAAAGGCTACTAGATACAAGTAAAATCAATTTTACTGTAACAGTAACAACTACAGCTTGAATAGAGGCTTACTTCATTTCATTACTGGAAACCACAAGGTGAGACTCTGCCATGCGGAAGATGTTGTGAATGGCCCTGGCTGCCATGATCTGACGCATGGTTTCATAAATCAGCTGTTCACCTGGAGATTTATGGAACTTGTTACAAATTTTATAATGTTGTTATGTATTTGTTTTTTTAATGTATAAACACAAATGTATACTAGTATATACAAGCAATGCACAGACACATGTACAGTGTACACTCACACACACAAAAAAGAAAAAAAACTTGCATTCATATATATCTTTAATAAAATAGCATATTCTTACACAATAATTTAATTATTAATTACCAGTAAGTAAACTTGTTGTTTCACTTCCCAAATATAGAAACCTCAGCAAAATACAAAATACAACTTATCAACAATTGCCTGCCAACTTATTGATAACTTTAAATTCATCAATTTATTAAATATAATAATATAAAATAAAACATGCCTACATGGCTATATACATACCTCTATCTGTCTTAACCTCCATGGAACCAAGAAATCTGACTAGAAAACTCTGTGAGAAGGCAGTACCTGCCCCATGGTCATCTGCCACCATCTGCAAGGACGTCTGGTCAAAGGGGTTGATCCTCCTACAGAAGTTGGAATATGTGAATGGTTTCAAAACAGCAATAAACTAAGGCAAACCATGTGCATTTGATCTTTAAATAGCCAAAAAATTGATCTGGAAATATTAACAACATGTACAGTATAATGCACAAGCTCAAAACAGAATCCCAACTCTATTTATTGTATAATAGTGAAAGTTACTTAATATAAGAATACCATAATGTTATCAGAATTTTTTTTGCCAAATTCCCATAAAAATTATGTAAAAGGTGAAAGTTATTTACTTTTGAGGCCCTTCTTTGACCCCAATGTCCTTGACCTCATCTGTGGGTGAAGCAAGGTCAAACTGTATGGGCGTGTTCAGCACGAGGTCACCAGAGGGCGCTATCTTAGTGGCTGGCGGTGTGGTATCTCTACACGAAATAATATGTTATGTTATAGCTACTCAGACTAACAAAAAGATGAATCACAAAAACAAATGAAACATGACAGTATAATTATAAGGATAGGGCATGCAAGTCATTCAATATGAGTCATTAAATATAAGTATGATAAAGATCATAGTTACCATCACTGTAAACAAACAATATATTATTTTATTAATTATTGTGATAAGCAATAACTAATTTTTAATTAGCAGTTTATAATAGGAAAAAGCACTGCTGACTATAAAGCTAACTGGGTATAGTATTATCAAAACTATATAGCTACTGAGTATATAGCAGTTTATAACAGGAAAAAGCACTGCTGACTAAAGCTAACTAGGCTTAATATTATCAAAATTATATAGCTATATAGACAATCTACATTGTAAGAGACCAATCAAAGAAATCTAAGAACAGGAACTACTTATACAGTACAGCTAAAACACAATTATTTAAAATGAATTAATTTAAAAGAAATAATCATCAACAGATCTACAGTATACTAGTGTAAAATGTCAGTAAAAAATGTCTGAAAAATAAAATAAAATCATCACAAAAATTTTTAAAGAAGCAATAACAAAAGACCTCTCCAAACAAAGTACATGTTTCTCTTGGAATACCTGGTAGCACCCTGAACTTTTTCAACAATGACCCACCCTGATGAGGAAGACTGCTGCTTGGCAGCGCCACTATCTGAACTGGCCGACCTACTTCTGCTTTTGCTTTCAGCCCGCTCCTGAAAAAATAAATATTATGTCAAAAGGCAATGATCATTTGTTTGTATGAAATGTTGTAACTTAAAGCAAACTTCACACCAAATGCCTATAATGATCACTTATGAATTTTTAAGTTTTTTTAACAATATTCAAATCCCTTTTGCAAATGTGTTTAAAAAAACTTTCAAAAATATACACACTGGGTATACATATATAAAGATTAAAGAAAAATGTGCTTACATGTACAACACATAACCAAAGTATAATTAAGGCTTTCATTAAAAAGGGGATATAGTACATACTTGAACTGTCTTGCCTACCTTTTTATTGGTTTCAGAAGGATCCCTTTCTTTCACATATCCACCTTCCTTAGCAATATTCTTTATGGTCTGTATCCACTAGAATGGCCAAAAAATTAATTCATAAACTAATAATTGATTAATTGATTAAAATGATTGCTAAATTATTTACGTAATCTGCACTTGGCAATAAAATAATATATAGCACAGAAGGCAAAACC